ATGTAATTCATTCTACAAATGTAAAACATAAATTATTCAATAAAGACCGAGGCCAGGCCTCACTCTTAAAAAAAAAATAAAAATAAAAAAAAATAATAGCGACTTCTTAAAGATAGATAGAATTAAGGTTATTATCATGTTAACTTCTCTAAAAACCAGAAATGATTTTGATTATTTTAATACTAGAGTCCTACAACCCTAATAAAACTTTCTATGTACCGTATTTCGCGGGCTAAACCACCCCTCCCCTGTCGGATAATGCGGATATTTCCATGGTGCACATCAAACAATCGCAATTATTAAGCTAACGATTGGCTTTCACAATATGTAATAGACAATATTACACACAATACAGTATAAAAATATATTATACATCCGCATGCACCATCAAAATATCCGTATTATCCGATAATTATTTTACGTGGTTTAGCCCGCGAAATACGGTACTTCTTTTTTGTTTATTCTTTGTAGTTTTATTTTTTTTAAACAGTACTTTAAACTGTATAAATAATGTAAAATTAAATTGATTTATGTTTTAGTTTCACCAGCAACTCCAGATTTATCATGCAAATCATATAACAAAATGATCTATATACACTCTACCTTAATTAAGAATCAGGTTCGTTTACGTACAAATTGCATAAATTGCATTCCTGATATTTTTAATAAATTAATATCACTGATTATAATAAAATCGGATTAAAATGAAATGAGGGATTTCTATTTGTCCCCCTAAAACCCACTTATACTTGTTTATTATAAAACCTATCCCTAAACACTCATTCTAACCCTAAAAAATGCTAAAAAAAATGCCCCCCAAAAGTTTGTGGCTTGTATACTTTTCACTATCTCTTAATCTGATTTCATTTTTAATCCGTCACAATTATTGTTAACAAAAAAGCTATAATTTATTAAAATATTTTGATAAATAACTTTATACGTAAGTATGAATAATTTTTAATTCATGGTAAAATTTATCAATATGAAATTAATATATATAAAATTAGTAATGAAGTTAAGTAGTTAAAGTTTTCACATTTGGTACGTACGACTAAATACGTACTACCATTAAATAGTAAATAATGGTACGATACAGTAAACCAAAAAGACCTATAAACAGGTTCATTTTCATTCTATTCAGGTTAGACATTATCATAGGTCAGGTCAAATTTATATCAGATCATATTGAAAATAAGAAATTGATTGTAAGAAAGAGAACACGTTTTGTCCGAAAATTTACCATTATATAACAACTAATAATTGATAACGTTTAGAGCAATCATATATAATTCTTATCTAACGTCAAACAATATGAATAAACATTACACAAAAATGCAAACACAAGTGTAAATAGTAGGGATAATAGCGATAGACCTTGGCATAATGATTAAATGAAGAAGATGTACATGATTTATCGTAACAATACCCATACAGAAATAAAATAGTAGAGTTTTTTACTAAAAATCAACCAACCAAAAAAGTTTGATCTAAAACTTCGCTAGCGCAACCCCTTAACTAATTTTTACATAAGAATTGCGACTCTGCGAGTTTATGTGACATTGTTGACGGTAAATGGACAATTATAGAACTCATATGATCAAAGTGAGAAATTATGGGATATACTTTTGCCGAATATTTTCTTTCGAGCTGCATATCTGATATGTACGTACAATATGTTAAGTGAATTTCCAATCGGAAAGAAGCCGAGTTCACGAAGAGTAATATACTGTTTTTGGCATTATTCTTTAATAATTGAGAAGATAACTACTTGATTTATAAACGAAACTAAAGATAATTTCTAGAGTCATGTTGGATACGACTCGTAAATCGATCGGAAAGGACACAATAACGACAATCAAAATCTATTCATAACGATGATGAGGAGCACATATTAATAATTTCAAATATATACATATAGGTATACACGTATTTTGAATAAAAATGACTATATTTATCGGTATAAATTGCACGTTTAATTAACCGAGAACGTGATACGATACAAGTTTTGATAAATACCCCAATAATTTTTCTTACCCTTTTTTTTTAAAAAAATAAAATTATTTTTTTTTAAAAAAATAAAATAAATTCATTTTTAACAAATTCACAATGTCTCGGGAAGGATTTTGGCCGATAACTAGTTCCGTAGATTGGTGTGAAAGTAATTATGTGCATTCCCATTATATTGCAGAGTATGTACTCTACAGTATCTTGATAATTATTAACAGTTAACGTTAATAATCTTGAAAATTACTTACGTTAATAATCGTTACTAATCGTTAATAATATTAATCAAAATAATCATAATAATTATCGTAATTATTTTAACAGATTCTGGAATTCTGTATCAAGCATTGCTATGATAATACTTGGTGAAGCAGGAGCGAGAATAAATCCTTGTAATAGCTTTCGATTTAAACTCGCATTTCGATTGATTTCTGTTGTTGGAACTGGGAGTTTTTTATTTCATGGAACTCTTACAAGTCAAATGCAAGCATTAGATGAGGTATATAATATCGATATGCGTAATATACACATGATACTTTTCGATTCACAATTTTTTTTTTTTGTTTGATTATTCGAATTTAATTTATTATGAATTAGGTCCCAATGGTCTGGACAGCTATAACATTATTACATCCTTTAATAGAGACTAATTTTGGTCGTCAGGGAATATGGCTTCCCATCACTCAAGTAATTTGTGCAATTTTTTGTACACTCGCGGTGACAATGGCAAAAGGCACATTACAATTTATTTGCTTTCATATTTCATTTGGGTTATTAGAAATTGCTTTATTGGTTTTAATGAGTCGTGTATATATTAAGAAAAGAGCATCTCATCCTGCGGTAAAACACCTTTTTGAACAAGGAATAATGATTTACGCGTTGGGAGTTATAGTTTGGTTGGTAGATATGCATTTTTGTGATTTCGTGAATGGATCTTTCTTGCCTTTTAATCCTCAATTGCACGCGTTTTGGCATATTTTTGCAAGCACTGGGTTATATTTTTTGGTTACATTGATCTTGTATAATTGGTATTATGAGAATGGAACTAAATGTAGAATTGAATATAGATTTGGTGGAATTGTACCTGTTATTGTTAAAGATTATAAAAATTGAAATCATTAGTATTTTA